ACTGAAATTTTGTCTCCAACTCTTTAGAATTTGATCAAATACTTCATTACAAAGAAAGGTATGTTCCAACAGGGAAAAAAAAAAAAAGACTATTTAAACCTGAATGATAGTTAATTATCACATGTCAGGTGATCAACAACCCTAATCTTATATGCAATATTAAAAAGCATATAAATGATTTATGAAACTGTCTTGCAGTATCAAACAGGAACTAGTTTTTTAGGATTTAGTGGACTTAAATGCCAAATACCCAGATCTGCATAGGCTTTACTTAGTAACACAACACTGACCTATCTTCTGTCCCACTGACCACTGGAATTCAGTCCCTAGACAGGCTGGAGAGATGGATGCCTCAGGAAGACAGTTCCAGAAAATGATGCTTAAACAGCTAGACAGAAATGGCAAGCCAAAGAGGACAGGGAAAAGAGCGAGCTGCTTGATATCATGTGGGTACTGTCAAAAACAGAACTCAGATTTCTGCCTCCTTGGTCAGACTACTAACTGTCCTTTTGAGGAATTAAATGAGACAATTAAATCAAATTGAATTACACGTTACAGAATTAAATTAGTCTTAGGGGCTGGATTAATTCTGTGGTTCACTAACTCCAGTTCCATTTTACTAGATTCTCTCTGAGCTCATTTATTCCATCATTCTCTTTTTTATATATTTTTTCTTTTATTTCTTTAATCTCACCCACAGAACCACCTTTTTAAAAATACACGTATACAGACACATATGGAAATGTATAACATTCCAAAATGTAGTTTCCCATTTCTATTTTTTAATTTAATTGTGTTTAATTGACCTACTGTGAAAGGAGAAGTACTTTTCAAGTCAAAGGAATTCAAAATTTTTTACTAAAAAAAGTACAATTGCAATTTATATTTCAAATTTTATGAAAATATAATTCATGGAAAATCATCTTCTCCAGATTAGGATATGAATAATATATTGTTATTATAGTAGAGGATCAGAGAAATTAAGGAATCTTTCACTGCACAAGCCATTTCAAGTAGATTGAAAAAAGCCCCAGAGAGTATTAAACATGAATGTGCAATGGGTGGAGTTTGGATGACTTAGTAGAGAATTCCCTTGCATGCTTTGCCTGGGAAACTGTTCCAGAGCTGAAAGCCCAGATTACATGATACATGTACTGCAAAATTTAAGAAAACAGAAAACTATAGATAGGGCAGCTAGAATCTTTGCACAAGCCGAATGATAAACAGAAAAATAACTCAAATTTTTGAGTTTACAGGTCATATTTTTAGAAAAGATTATCTGGTATATATGACTCCCACTTCTTGATTTAATCATTACATCTTACTGCTACTTTCAAGTCCAATAATGTTCTAATTTCTTCTATTTTATTTTACTTACGTTTCCTATTTTTACATAAAATTTGTTTTTCAAAGTTCTCGAAAATGACAGTCTTTATTTTCCTCTTTCTTATTTTACAAAAGATAAACATATAATCATCTGACGATGTCATCATTTCAATGTCTCCTCCTCATTCCAAAATTCCATACCTCATTGGAGTTACAGTATAGGAAAGCTTTCCCTGTTACGGAAGTCAGTCAGGGTTCACCAATTCAATGCTTGAGAGAGAATTCCGATTAACAGACAGTCTAGTTGTAACTTATAAACGTATGAAAGCAAGGACTAAAACCAAGACAAATTAAACACAATATATTGTTTAACAGATCTCGCCTAAGAAAATCATAACTTACTCTTATTGAAGCAAATAGCATGTAGCTATGGAAGCGCAGATCTCATTTGTCTTAATAGAGTTCTTAAAACCGAAAAAGCTTTCCCAAATTCCGTCAAACCAGCATTAGCATTTTGTCAAAATATGACTTTGACATTTCTGTAATACTTACACTGTAGACATGTGATTTTTTTATTCTTCAACTTTTCAATTGTTTAGAGTGCACTAAGCCTTAAAATCTACTTGTGATTAAATGTGATAAGCAAAAAAATAATTCCCCCACTTCTAGTCATACGCTGCATGTCTGAAGCTGAGCTATTTCACCCTGATTACTTCTGCATTTATGATCTTAAGTGGGGAGCAGCCAATTAAGTTGTTCCCAACCCAACACCTCTTCTGCCCTGCTGTGTTCTTGCAGCTGCAAACTACACACAACCACAGTGTTTCAACGGGGCACTACTACAGGGTGAGGCTGCAGGGCCAACAGAAACTGCAGATTTACTGGGTAGGATTCTCAGAATCTCCTCAGGTCCATCCCCTGCTCATGAACCCTTGGTATCTCAGTCACAATGGCTCTGGGTGTTAGTTTACTACAACACTAATATATAATACCACCTCCACAACAAAACATCCACCACTACCTTCAGACTAACTGTAGATTAGATTTCAGATGCAAGTTTGAAATGAGATTTTATTTGGCATCACATGCACAAATGAGAAAAAGTTGTATTAAATAGTTCTACTAAGAAAAAGAGAAACCCAGACTCCGAAGTCTAACTCTTATTATATCTTGAAGATAAGGATAAATTATTTCTTCATTTACTTCTTTTGGTGTGAAATTGCAAGGTAGCTCCTAACATTTCCTAGATCTTCACTGCCTGGACTTAGAAAAAAAAATGAAAATTTCAAAAATGCTGTACTTAACTCATGTGAAAAATGGAATATAAACTTTAGAGAAGGGTGAATAGATTGAAAAGGTTTTCCATTCTGTTCATTGAAAAGACTACAGTAATGGTCATGTCTGACATATAAAAGCTTATAACAGCTGTTATGAAATATTTTCACAGGACTATGAAGCTAGTAGAACTAAGTACAATATTAATTTAGTTCTCTCTTCTCTGATGCTGTGATCAACCTATAATGCCATCAGTGGGGACAGGGAATCTTTAAATAATTACATGTAATTTTTAATGCATTAGAATACTTTAGCAAAAAACACAATTACTGTAATAATTTTTATACATTTAGCCCTTTTCAAAGTAAAATAAAATGTCCATCTTGGACATTTAAAGTGTCCCACTTGGCAATAACTATACCTGTTTTCCTTAAAGTTCTCCTATGCATAAACTTTAGGAGTTAGTAAAAACTACGTGTTTATAAAACCATGGTGACTATAAATGCTTTCACAAATACTGGTTGGAGAGTAGCCATAATTTTCTAACATAAACCTGTTGATTACAGATGATCCACATTTAGGTTTTCTGGAAATTTTTTTTTCAATATTCAGATAAGCATTGGTCATAGACACAATGTTACTAGCCAGACGGGCAAAGTATAAATAGCAATGTGTAATTGCAGTGTTTCTGTACATAGTTTATCACAATGCTTAAAAGAAATTACCGATGAAATGCTTTAATGCAATTTGAAGAAACAGGCAAAGCTAGGAATCACAACTGCAACATTTTACATTCAGATCCATCTTTGTCCTCTATTAAAATTCCCCTAGAGTAGGTATTTTTTTTCACGTAGTACATCAAAGGATAATGTCTTGCTAAATGTTTCTTTGAGATTTTTATAGAACTTTGGGTTTCATTCTGTGTTATACTTACCAGACTCCTTGCAGGGTGTGATTCATTGTCACCTATCTATCTCCACTGTGTCATCTTTAAATCAGGCCTTCTTACTACAATATTCACTTGCAACCTTGAGAACTGTGCATCCAACAAGAGATATTTACCCTCTCAACCTAGCAGAAATTCCTTCTTAAATTTACAGATTAGAGGTATACTATTCAGTAGGGTCTTCATCCTGCATGCTATTGCATACTAGAAAACTCCAAAGAGATTTTGATAAGAACTAAGAACATTATTTATCTGGCACAGGACCATGAAAACTCACAGTAAGGGTGGTTAATGAAGAAAATAGGTGAAAAGATATCCAGACATTATATATATGGGGTTTTTTGGTAATGTAAATTGTCTTAAAATGCCTCTTTCTGTTGCCAATGCATAAAGTAGTTTAATTTGGCAGAACTTCTACTTGGAAGAACACAATGTCCTGAAGCTGATTTTCTTATGCAAAGCCTTCCTTCTAGCTTTCAGCATGCAAGGTATACACCAGTTCTATAACAATAAGTTAAATCCAGAGAACATATATAAATACAAAGGAAAAGGGTGTACATTTCCTATTGGTAAATGAGTCTGAGTTTAAATTAATATAAACTGGTTACTCTACAGGGAGTTTAATTGTCATGCAAATTACAGTAACCTAGACTCTCCTGTGATTTGAGTGACTTTGTTCTTTCTATTTTTTTTAAACCAACATCCTCAGACTTTTTCCTGTGAGTTACTCCATTAACAGCATTTTGATTTCATTTTGCACATAGGGATACAGGTCAGATTATAGGTATTATAGAGAGTTAAACATATTTCATATTTATGTCTAGGAGTGCCAGAACAACTGAATTGGAAACCACTAGCTTCGATATATAGATTAATTTTCTTATTGACAGTTATAAATGACAAAGAACAGAACAAAATTTTCAGCTTTGTCTAATAAATTCAGTGATAACTGAAACTCCTTGCAAAACTTTTCCTGGCATTGTGAAATACATCTTGCAATATAATAGAGAGAATTAAAAAAAAAAATTAGAAGGAATGATCTTAATTTTGCATTAAAAGTCAAACACCCTTGTTTGCTTCATAAACTAAAATGAAAACTATGCTGTTCTTCAGTAATGAACCGAAATGGTTTAATTCTTCTCTTTGAAGTGATTGTATTTTGGACCATCACAGCAGAATATCATAAGAATTTTAACAAACTTTTTATGTTTCAAGCCACACTAAAAATGAGCTATATCCAAGTACAGAAAAAACCAATATTTTATTTATAATCTTAGTTTAGTGTTTGAACTACAAATTCTTGTTCTAGAATTGTTTAAAAGATCATGGTTTTTATAGGTTTTCACAAGTAAATTAATTTCTCGGGGTTTGTGGTTTGTTTTTTTTTTTACTTTTCCATTTTTTCACAGAATGGTGCTTTCAGTAAATACAGAGCAAATCATTACATGGAAAAAAACCGTTTTGATTGTTTTTCTTACTTGTAAAGTTGCTGTTATCATTCCATTCTCTATTGAATAATTTCAAAAAGGGCATGAGAAAACAAAAGAAATGAAGAGAAAAAGTGACAAAATAGACCGAATCTCACCACTAGAATTCACCATAAAAATTCCCAAAGTGTAACAGAATTCTTACAAAATTTCCTAGACCAGTTTTTTTAGGGAATCAAGATATCCTATGAAAAATATGGCAAATGGGAATCAGGATAGATTGGGGAGGAAAAAGGGAACGAGGACAGTAAATAAGTGCAGCAAAAACAGGTTCTGAGGAACACACATAATTTTGTCTGCTTTAGATCACAATAGAATTTTTAATAAATAAATTTCTTTTTCTTTGTAAAGACACTTTTTTGAAACAGCAGATTTAGCCCAGTCATTTGTGTCATTTGTTTTATAAACCATCTTTTGTTGTCCCCACCCCCACCCCATAATGTCAGAAATGTTTTAGATTTGAGTCTCTTGTACATTGTCTTTTGAGTTCATTCGGATCAATAACGGTTCATGCACTGAACTGTGTATTGAATTTATGGTGTTAACTGTTGTTGTGTGGTTGAAAGGAGACTTATAAGAGTTATAATGATTTAGGTGCTCATGCTCTATTGCTGGCATGGGCAAGTGACTCTCTATGGGTGTGTCACCTGTAAGCTCATCATCCACATTAATGATCTCTACAGTCCGTGTTGGAGCATGATGGTTCTGCCGGTGATGCTGTTTCCTCATTTTGTAGAAAATTACCAGCATCACAGCAGCCATGAGAGTGATAGCCACAAAACAACCAATTATGATTTTGGTAGTCTTCATAACCTCATCTATTCCTGGGATCCCGTTGTTTGTGTCCGTCACAGGAATGGTGAATGTTTTTTCTGTTGATCTTGTGCTCTGTGGAGTGAGTGAGGTTGTCATGTTAGTAGTCTCCCAGCTAGTAACTGGTGTGGGCCCAACCTGCTCTGTGGTCTGTGCCTCATCCTGAGAAGGTTCCACAGTCTCAACTGTGACGGTTGAAAAGTACGTGTAACCAGGGTTATCCAGGGCAGTCACATTCAGTGTGGCAGAAGCTGTGGTATTCCCAACAGAGTTACTCACCATGCATGTATACAAACCCGTGTCTTGCACAGTTACCTTTGTAAAATTTAATGTGCCGTCACTGAGCACAGCAATCCGAACTCTGTAAGCCCCATGCGTCATAACAGATCCATTTGGAGTAATCCAAGATACAGAGGTCAGGGAGGTTGATGCCCGGCATTTCATCTCTGCAGCCATGCCTTCTGTGACATTGAGGTCTGCTGGTGGCTCCACTATGACTGGAGCATAACACGTGAAGTAATTCAGGTCCAGCTCACCAATGTACCTTCCTTTTAAACTGGGAGGTGTGTGGCAACGGGCACAGCATGCAGTATTGGAGGGTGCCTTGTCTTTAATCCACCAGCTGAGCCAAAGGATATCACAGTTGCAGTTCCAAGGGTTGTGATGCAAGTGGATCCTTTCTAGGCGGAGTGGTGTGAACAGGTCATGAGGCAGTAGTGTTAGATTGTTGTGTGCCAGATTGATCTCTACAAGTGACTGAAGGTTATCGAAAGCATTCCTTTCTATCACTTGAATCTGGGACTGTATCATCCACAATTTCTGAAGATGCATTAACCCTTGGAAAGAACCTGGCCGGATGGCAGTCAGGTGATTTCCAGAAAGATCTAACTCATCCAGTTTTACAAGCGGGGTGAGGTTAGGAATCTCTCGAAGATTGCACATGGCAAGATTCAAATACCTCAAGTTGGACAGACCTTCAAAGGCACCTTCTGAGATGTATGAAAGCCTTTTCAGTTCCCCCAAATCCAACCTCCGGAGAGAAGGGATTCTGTTAAAAGCATAAGAAGGGATGCTCTCAATGGGGTTGTTTCTCAACCACAGTTCCTTCAGTTTTGACAGGTATACAAAAGCCCCATTTGGGATAGTGGTCAGACGATTGTCAAAGAGTTCCAAAGTGTTGAGATTGGCCAGACCATTGAAAGCCCCTATTTCAATTGTTCTGATGTGATTCCTGCTGAGCTGCAGAATTTCTAGGTGCCTCAGATGCTTGAAGCTATTAACTTTAATGATTTGAATCTGGTTCTCATGGAGATTGAGTAACCGGGTGTTGGTGGAGATGCCGTCTGGCACGTCTCTCAGATTTTTCCGTACACAAATCACTTTACTGAACTGGTTGCTGCAGGAGCAGACAGAAGGGCAAGTCTGAGCCCTCACTAAACCAGCAACCACAAGAAGCTGAAGAGCCAACAGCACCACAAGCAGGGGGTCAAATAGGGCCCTGTTAAACCTAGGACCTAGCATTATCTGCTGTGGATGTAAGGTCATCTTGTTCAACATTCATAATTTATTTGGTGTTGGTCCTTCTGGAGTTTGAATAGCCTGAAAGAAAGAAAGAAGGGAGAAGGAGAACGTTAAATTAATCTCAAATATTTAAATGTGCTCTCTAAACAAAGACTTCTCAAGTCCTTTCAGTCAACTCTACCAATGTTATGAAAGTCTGTAGCTAGAATAGCTATAGAAATTCTAATATTTTGTTTCCTGTACAGCTATGTATGTCAGCTGTAATTGGCAATGAGATAAGAAAAAGCCAGCCACTAGCTTTTCCTGATCATTCCAATGTATAACACATTTGGCTGGATGGTAGATAACAAATTCAACCACAGTGGATATCTAAAAGAGATGTTCTAACTCAGGGGGAGAGTTGAAGGAAGTGACAAGGGCCTCAAGCATCAGAAATAAGTAAAATAGGAATCAGCAGAATTTTCAAGGTGTTAACCTTCTTGACACATTGTAAGACAGGATAACAGGTAATGTGAGGAGCAAGTCGAGACTCCTGTTTTGTATGGGTGAAAATCTTTGTCTATACAAATGTGATTCCTGCATTGGAGTTTAACTAGAAGTAAAGCCTTTAATACTGCATGTAGCAGGTCATGCAAATGTCAGGGCAAGATCTTGCCTATTTCAAATTTAAAAAATAAAATACAAAAGAAACATGCTGAGCATCAATTCTTCCCTACCGTTAAACAGCATCATCCAATTTCATGATATTTCCTCCTCAATTCTTTTGTTTGGCACCAGCAGCAGGGAAACACTCATTAGTAAATGTGTGCTGAACACAGAAATAAGAATAGCCATTTAAATGTTGAAAAATATCTCTGTAGCTTCAGGGTTGGCAGTTTCACTGGCACCTCTAAAAAAATCCTACAGATCTTACTATAAGGGGAAAAAAGACCTTTACAGTACAAATGATCATTAGCATTTTAAAAATTGCAGTACTGATTCAGTACTGATTGTGGTAGTTCTTAATGCCCCCAGCCCATGGTTCATTTTCAATCTGCTGCTCAGTGCAAGGTCCCTCTGCTGTAGAGATTAATGAAATGTCCTATAAATCAGCCAAAAGTGAAGTCTTATAAATTACAGCAAGCTTAAAGCATATTTATAACCTAGAGCACCCAGATGCATAATACATGTATTCAGTAAACCTATAGGGCAATGGTTTTCCACTCCAGGCTCTGAATTGTTTCATTTTGTGTAAAAAACAAAGCTATCTTCCTTTAAAAAAAAAAAACAGGAAAAAATATATTAACTTACATCTCACAGCAATTCATTTAATGAAATACTTTTTTTCTAGTTATATATTCAGACAATGTGTTTTTGAGAATTCATTTTTACAATTTTAAGAAAGTTGTTATAATGGTTCACAGCTAGCAAGTGTTCTCATCTCACTTTTAATAATTTACTGCAGAGAAAGCCAATATAATTGTTAAGAACTTGTGAATGGTAATTGGAAAGTCTAGGCTGTATCTGTTTATTTGATCTGCTCTGTAAGTGCTATTTATAAAACATCATTCTTGTTGTGAAAGATTATTGAAACTAATGTGTTTTGCAACCTTGAGCAAGTCACTCAACTTCTCTCTGTGTGCCTTACATTTGTGTCATATGACTCTGGAGAACCCTGTGACTGTAGTGTTAGATGTTACTGCTCCCACCTCTTCATTCCTTCCCTCTGCCAACAACTGTATTTCTGAACATTGGCTTCATGGGTTTAGGATAATGTACTAGACTAGATGAGGAATGGCTGCTGTACACACCTTCCTTTTTATTGCAGCCTTACAAGGTCACATCTCCTCAGAGGTGCTGAACACAATATATGGAGAAATTCTCAAAGTAATCACTAAAATTCAAGTTCCCTCACATCAAATATCCAACTGTAGTAAAACTGTCTGCAAAAAGGTGGTGAAAAGGTCCTGGTTCCCATCTTTCTTACACTGTCATGAAGAAGAATCTGCCCATTGTGGTCAAAAGAATTATATCAATGAGTCTAATAGCAATTTCAGGCTCCTTAGTTAAGATCTGTGATCCATGAATTTTGCTGTTGAATAGTAATTAACCATCTTCTGTGATAGTTAATGTGATTGTATTAGCATTTCTGTTTGTCACTGGGTTTTTTTTTAATTCAGTCTTTTCTTTCCGTTCTCATTTTTTAAAATTTTCAAAAACGTATTCCCTAAGGACTTGGACTGAATAATGAATTCCATTAATAAGTAATAAAACAGAAACACACCAAACCAATTATTTTACCATTGCACTGGTGTAATGTTGTTGTCTTCACTGGAACTGAGATGAGAACTCAGCCCACTATGTCCAGCTTCAGAGCTGCCAGTTATCCCTGTACGGCTGGTGTAGCACCAGGAGTACATGTGGCTTGTAGAGATACAGGAATCTTGTGTGTTTTATCTCAGACCCATTCACCATTAAAGGCCAGTTTTGCAAGATGCAGAATAGTTTCTCTACCTCTCTTTTTGCTAATTTTCGCTGTCATTTCTGTATCATGGATGCCCTGAAGGACCAGGTAAACTATGGGATTTGTAGACCAAGAAAGTATAGGAAAAATAAGAAAAGTCATGAGAGAACAAGTGCCCTCAACTTCAGCCAGTGTATACATAAACTCCCTTCAATTGCTTCTTTGCCAGCCTCTGTAAAGCTGATGATACCAAACCATGCTGCAAGCAATCCAAGGCACTTCCCTCTTGTTCTGACTTCTTACATCTGATGGTATCTCCCACCATTACCTTCACCTACTCCTTTATCCAGCAAATCTTCCCTTTCCATCACTCCATGCACATATGGGTAAGAAAAAGATAAAAACATTTTACTTGAATATAGTACTTCATTATAACAAATAAATTATCCAGTTATGAGGATGATTAGCAAAAAATGTTTAACCCAAAACAAAATGATTCCATGTCTCAGTTGCAAAAACATTTTTAAAAGAAATATTTTGGTTTTATCTTCTTAAAATAAATTGCCTATATTCCTCCTGATTTTAATTATTGACTTAAACAATGAATCAGTCATAGAACAGCTCTTTCTTTGTGTTGAAGGCCACAATTGTTCCTGGCTTTTACGTTTACCTTTTTCCCCAGTCCTGTGCTAGGGATGTCTCAATCAAACATATGCCTCAGAACTATGATCTATCAAAGACCCTCAGGGAATTCTGCAACCATCAGGCTTCTGCAAAATTCGAATCTGTATATAGTTCAAATACAAGCTTGGCCACTGACTAGTTATTAGCTGCTCTGAGTGTATAATTTTGAAGACAGGATCACCATTTTATGAAATGTGGATGGAAAGTTCTAGATATGTTTTCATATGTGTTGGTGTGTTTGATTTTTCTGTGTCTAAGCTGTACCTTGTTTAAAATATAAGTACAGAAGATCTATACTGCCATTCCTCTGGAACATTTTCTGGAAGGCAGTGAGAGCAAATCCTAGCTTTTGTAACCATCATTTAATTTAACTTTGGATTTATTTACTTACTAAACTTTTTTCCCTTTTCTTTGGCAATACAGGAAGAAAAATGCGGTATTTAGCATAAGACCACACTATCCAGGCTTGGTGCCGCTTAAGTACAGGAGAGGTGATGATTCAAAAAAGCCACCATGACCAGCAGAAAATATGCTAGGCAATGCCTTGCAAGTCCTCACTTTCACCTGGTGAGCTTTGCGTGAGGCTAACATACTGCAGTGAGATTCCTCGTGGCAATAGAAATGTATTAAGCAAGTCCTTTGTTTTATACTGGTGGTTTTACACAGCTCAGAGTTTGATGTTCAGGAAATCTTGGTGCAGTCATTTCACATCAGGGTAATTTTATATCATAAATACCCTGGAAATACCCTGGCAAAAAATTAGCCAGCACAAAAAAACATTGGAAGATTCATTTAAAGCCTTGAAGAACATTATGGAAATATTTTAATGGGCTTTATATAAAGACCCATCTGGAACTCTCTACTAGATTAATTTGCTATTCAATATCTGTCTGTTATGCTAGAGACACATGAAGGTTTAGCTTTATAAATCCATGGAACACAGATCATCAACCAGCTTCTTTAGTCTTTGTCAACAACTCTTTGTCTTCTAAGCGAATTTTATTTTTCCTTCATTTTTCTAGTACCAAAATATCAACTCTATGGTCAATTCAATAACACTAGTGCCCTCTGCTGTATAGATGTAAAATGTAGTTTAAAATGTTAAGAATTTCCTTACTGCAGTCAGCTCCTCAGACACCATAGAATTATTATATTTCCAAGCATGTCTGTCTGTGGCGTTGCTCTAATTACCAAAGCATATATTATCTGTCATTTTAGTACAATAATGTATGTGGCCATGGAGACATACACATAAAATATATAGAGAGCTGTTTGTTTTGTTTTCTGTTTCCACAGAACTCAAAAAAATCTTTTTTCAAATTGATATTTGATATGCATGTTCTCCTTTTTATAGCTTATCTGATACTTAATCTCGACGTGCTACCTGTTTTCCTTTGAGCAAAAAGCATTGCCCTCTTAAGGTCCAATGCAGAAGATGAAGCAAGGAATGACAAGCTGATCTACCTCTGCAGATATGCACAGGGCAACTTTCCTTAGGGACAGCTGGAAGGATGCAGTATTTATTCTATTGAAAGGTAACTTTGCCAATCATTTATGCAGAGATGTCTTCCTTACGGGCATTGCAATGGAACCCGCAATTGGCTTTTCTATTTTTCTGTAATTAGGTCTTAGGCCTGATGTTCTTTGACCTCTCTTTGTTATTTTATCAGGAGAAAATGATTATACTCATTCTGATCTCTGAAGGATTTTCCGGTAATGGTGGGCCTTTATTACAAAAAAAACTTCTACACCATTCCGAAAGACCTGCCTTAATGAGGTATGGCAGGTGGCAAAGATATTTTCCCAAGCTCCAGTGACCCTTAGCTGGATCACTGACAGTTTAGTTGCTGTTGGCAACTCATGCTTAGCTTTCTGTCTAGTCTGTGGGTCTATGAATAACTGTCACAGCAGTGGAGCGGTGCAGTGCAAAGGCCATGGCTTTAT